GAAGATGTAGATGTGGTAGACGCTGTACGAGTTACTCATTAAGGCATCAAAGGTGATCACAAACATCTGGCTGGTGTTACATCGACCAGGCAGGTAAATACATTATCAGTACATTCATGCCCAGAGCAGTGTTTGTGTAAAGGCTCCAGAGATGCAGGGAGAAACCTTCCAGCTGATTGAGAGGAACCCAGGATCTCTGATACTGGATCGACCGGTGGTCAGACGTCAGTTGTCTTCATTTTACAGTGGACACAGTGAACATAATGATCGTGCACAAACAGTGAAGTCAACATCACATACATTAGAGTACATAGAGTTTTGAGGTACTGTTGTATTTCAGTGACTTTATGAGTCAAAAAAAAAACAAGCGTGTTCCAGCTGTGAACTACGTGGTTCCATTTGTGCCAAAAAAACATATCCACATGCACACTGTCTATGTCGACTGAGCGTGTGACAAAACATTTGTCTTTGTGTGTTCAACTTTGAATCGACACAGATAATTTGATCACAGCTGAAGTTCAGTTTAAAGTTAAACAGACACACACAGATGTTTTGTCACATGTTCAGTCGACAGACACACGTGGATATATTTTTGGCGCAAATTGAACCTCATACATTCATGACTTCATTCATTCATTTGGTAGTGTTTCCTCCTTTGCAGCATTTTGTGTAAACCTTGTGTACATGTTGTCAAATTGATGATGATGTTTTTTTCATCTGCTTGTATTTTGTCTGTGCGTCTGTCTGTAGTTCTGTCAGTGTGAGAAAATGAACAGAGACTTAGTGTTTTTATCAGTTTAATGCACAGTGATTTCTTCATCACACTGTTCAGAAGCATCAAACTATTTCTCACAGAACAGAAACGGTTCTGTTCCTTTAAGGCACAGAGGCGACACATTCACAACATGGACAGTTTCAAAGTGTTGAAGATAAAACAAAAAACAAAATAAAAAGAATACAAGGCGGTTAACAGAAAATAATTCAGTATAATCTTAAAAACTTGTAAAAACACTGTAAACTTTCAGAACAAAAACTCTAAGGTCACTTTAGGTTGATTTTCCCTTTGTGCAAGCTGAATCATTTCACTGCCTTGCTCTGAGGCACTAGTGTCACAGACTTTAAAAATTCACAAAAAAGTTTGAATGGTTTTCTTTCTAAATGTTACACATCCATTCTGGAATAACACCTTTTATTTTGAAATGTAAAAAATGACTACAAAAATAAAATAAATAAATAAAGGAAAATAAAAATACTTGTTTTAAGTCATAAAGTTGATTTTTAAAATTAAATTCCATAATTTTTTGCCTTAATTCTGACTAAAAAAGTTTGGATATTCACTTCATGATTTTGACTTACTAAGTAAAATATATGACTTACTATCATAAATTTGTACTTGAAACTTTGTAGTAAAGCTAATAATTTATATTTGGTACAAAATGTTTTACTTTGAGAAAAAAGCAAGAGATCTATTTTAGAAACATAAACTACTAACTTTTATATTGAAATAACAGATACTAATTTTGATTATTCTGATTTTTGGTCAAAATGTTTTGAATAAAAGATTTTTCCGTTTCAGAATAAATTTTGTTTTAGGAAAAAAAAATCACATTTTAACAGCTTGAATGATTTCCTTCCAAAATTTTTCAAATCCATTTTGAAATAAGAAATACAACCTTTTATTTTGAAATGATAACTATTCTCCTCATTCTCCATACACTCCATATACTTTTTACTATCTCATATTTTTAATTCACCATATTTTTTTTATCTTATAGTTTTTTTCTGGCACAATTTAGCTTGCATATAAACTGTCAATTAACCATCAGCTGAAAACCTTGTTGATCTGTATGGATCATAAGTTTCTTTGGATGTTTAAAATCCATTAACGATAAATATTAATTTTATATGTGTTGTACTCATCATTTTCAGTTCAGTTAAGTTGACATGATTAAAAAAAAATATGTGTGTTGTTATCCTGAAATAATGAGATAAAAGTATATTATCTCAGAATTATCTCAGTATAATTATCTCAATACTTTGAGAAAACATTTGCTCTTATGTCAAAAACATCAATATTTCACATTACATTTTGTTTTTGAGATGGCATGATTTTTGTCTAAAAATCTGTTTGATTATCAGAGAATAACTGGATAATTATCTCACTGTCTCAGGATAATTACACTGAGATAACTATTTTGTTATCCCCATAAAATTATGTTTCATTTTCCTTTTTAATACATATAATAATCAGATATTTGAACTACTGTTGTTCGAGGTAATAATGATAAATATTTTGATTTAATACTGTTGTTGTATCAGATTGTTAATGTGTTAACAGTAAAGGCTGCTTGTGTTGACGCACCCAGAACACAGTACAGTACCATAACAACACTACAGTACCATGGTGGGACCAGCAGGGGTGCTGTTTGAAGGCAGAAGTTTGTCCATCAGTCCGTCCTCTCAGGATCCTTTCTCTTTACCTGCACACCTGCACAACACATACAGGAAGAAGAAGAAGAAGAAGAAGAAGAAGAAGAAGACGTTAGAGCAGCCTACACTTCACATGATTCAAAACCTGATGGTGGCGCTAAAGGAGAAGTGAGAGGTTCAGATGTGAGCAGGGTTCATCCTGAGGGGAACACGAACATCTGAACATTAGCTGTTGGTATTTCAGTCTGAACAACGGAGCAGCTCCTGTGAACTGGGAAGGTCCTATTTAGAGATGATGTCACTCTCTGAGGTGTTGATGGTCACAGGCTGTGGATCAATAACTTCTCCTGATCTTAATGTTACAGTGATTAACACACCTGACAATAAACTGAAATGTCATTTACTATGTTCAGTCAGATTAAAACTCACTCACTTCATCCTGTTTGTTTCCTTCTGTCTTCACCATGAACAGGATGTATGTTTCCATTACATGTGTTGCTTTTATTTTGAAGGCAAATTGTACTGCAGTGGCCTTTATTGTGAAGGAAAGTTTGACTGCTGATATTTCTCAGTTTCACACTGATTTACAAAGAACCTAACTGTTCATCCACACAGGTGTTTAAACCATCCTCAGCAGCAGGTAGAGGTGATGAGGAAACAGCAGCACCTGAGCCGTCAGTTGACACACCTGCTCAGGTGTCTCCTCCGCCTGCTGACTCACTTTATAAAGTTACTCAGTGAAATACTGTTGACACATTAATGCAGGAGTAATAATATATATATATATATATATATATATATGTAATCTCTACCACTCTAACAGAGATGTGTTTCTGCATCTGTCACTTTTCATTTTAATACTTTAAGGACATTTTTCAGTTTTTCTTCACACTTCAGATCAATAACATTGAATACTTGTACAGTTTGGTATTTGTACTTTTACTTGAGTAAAAGATCTGAGCACTTCTTCCACTACTGTGACTCCACGGGGATCAGGACATTCTCAGGTAAATGTCTGGACATTTGATTAGATGATTATGATGTCACTGTAAACATATCCCACAATTCCTTTCTGTGCATATTTGGATGAGGAAGCACTGTGGTTGGTCAAAATATCGCTGAAAATCATCATGGATGAAGATTAACGTCTGCATGTGTTCTGCATCTGAATCCTGAGTTTAAAACACTTTCATATGAATCTAAGGACAAACTTCTTCCTCTTTGTGTTGAGAAACTTCTACTTAAATGTTTATTATTGTGTTATCTGACGTTATCTTTAAACAGTTTTTATTTGTTTGTTTTTTTTTATCTTCATACTAAATATCACAAAACAAGTTTTTCTTCATGTAACAACAGGTGGACTTCCTGTTGTGATGATTAACTCATGATCTAAAAATATAAACTGTTTAGGAACTTTTTGACATTTTATAGACAAAACAATTAATGGAGAGAATAATGAGCTGATTAATCAGTAATGGAAATAATGGTTAGTTGCAGCTGGAGGTTGGAGTCAGTGTGCAGAGGATCATTGACAGGAAAATGTTACACTGTCCTTTAAAGCGACAGTCCAACATTTTGCTGACTTCAGACTGATCTCAGTGCAGATTCAGGTCTTCATGCAAACCAACTCTATGAGTTAGAGAGTTAGTCAGTTTTCAGGTCAGAGCTGGATGAGTTAAGAGAAAAACTCTAATCTGATCTGTGTTAGATTGTTGCGGGGTCGACGAGAGCTCTGCCTGAGAAGACAAGCTCAGGGGGAAAAACATCTGAAGGTGTTTTTACTGAAGCAAAGCTGGATCATGAATGACATAAAGGTCAGTTTTCCCTTTGTGGAAATATTAGTTAAGAATAAACAGATTTTTCTTCCTGTTGAACGACAGTGCTTTAGAGACACTTTAACTTAACGCAGTCTCACTACTTTTTCCTCTAAATATTACAACTTGTTTCATAATGATCGACTTCTGACTCAAATATCTGACCTTCACTCTCCAGATTTTCTAGTTTTTTTCTGTACCAGTGGCTCGAATACGACACTGTGACAGAAGATAAATACTATACCCTGAACGTAAAGGTAAACATCCTGTGCTACAGTTCACTACAGCTGCTCCTACAAATTAAGACAAACTCCAGTGTTTTTGAGTCCATGTCTTTGTTTATATAAAACTTTACCAAAAGAAGTATGTACAAATTCAGAGGCATTGGTACAAAGCAACAATCAAAGTGCAAACTAACAGATCAGAGATGAAACCTGGACCGGTTCCATACAGAGCAGACAGACGTCCAGACAGGAAGAGGAAGTTTAACACGTCCTGAAGGATCCAGAGAGAAAAACTAATCCTCCTGCTGGATCTGATGAGACTGGGAATCCTCCCACAGTCTCATTAGATCCTGAGGGATTTGTTTCTGCTGAATCTGACAGGATCTTTTCAAACTGCCAGCAGGGGGCGCTCCAGACTCTCACTTTAAGAATCAACAGAAACTGAAACTGTTTTTGATTCATAAAAACAAAAACTATTTATTCTACTGTTTGGTTCAATTTTCTACAGTTTGGTTTAAAACTGAAACTGGGTTTGAAAATATTAAATTTTGAGTTTCTTAATTTTTCATTTGTTTTTGGGAGAAAACAAATATTTAAATGAATCTCATGTAAAACACGTTCAGCTGCTGAGAGACAGTAAAAGTTAAATGTCTCCAGCTGCACTCTGTCGTCTCCGGATTCTTTAAATTCGACGGCTGATTTTAAAACATAAATGTTTATTGTTCACAAAATCAAAGTGTATTTAAAGAAGCTCTGAAATAAATATGTTGTTTCTGTATAAATATATTTTTATCTGAGGAGTAAAGGTTATTTTCTGGAGATAATTATCCTGATATGATCTAGAGATAAAACTCCCAATAATTCGAGATAAAGAGATATTTTATATCACATCAGTGTGTACAGATGCTGTTGTTATATGACAGATGATGTCATTACCTCATGATGACAAAATTCATGATAATAATAATGTTATAATACTAATAAAATAACAATATTAATTAAGATAACATGATAATTATCTCCAGAAAAAGACTTAACTGTTCCAAGATATTTAATCCATTGTCACTAAAAACAACTTTTTCTTCTTGTTAAACAAACAAACATTTTCTGGAGATAATAAGATAATTAATCTCTTATAATTATCTTAACATAATTATTCCTTCAATATATTTTTTAATGATGTGAAATATGTTTTGGTCTTGTTATCTCAGATACAGGGAGTTTTCTTTTTTCTAACATCAATTACTTTTTAACTGAAAATATAATTTTTTACAACTTTTTATGTGAAAATGAGAGAAAAAAAAAAACACATGATCAAATTCAGATTTTGTTGTTTTGTTGTTGTCGTGACTGTTGACTTCAATCTGACTGCCTGTCACAGAAATCTGAAGCTTCCTGCTGAGCTTCCTCTTCCTCCTCATTCACCACCACCAAAAACAAAAAATAAAAAAAATCACAAACCAACCTTCATTTCCACATGAAATAAAAACAACGGATATATTAATTTATAGTTTTAGAGTCTCAGACACAAACTGTTTCCTGGAGGATTCAGAAAATAATTAAATGTAAAACAATATCGTTTGATTTTTTCTCCCTTCAGTTTGATTCAATAATTCAGGAAAACACCTTTGATTCTGATACAAACAAAAAACAAACTCTTAATATTTTTTGAACCTTTGGAAAAAATGTTTTTTTGTTTAGTTTTTCGTGGCCATATCGACATGAAGCAGCTGAGAAACGTTTGTTTAATTATTTATGAATCATTTTCAGTTAAATATGTTTAGTTGTTTACCCATGAAGATGAAATATGAGAAATATAATTCTCATATTTCATGAACTCAGCATTAATTATCATTTTTCTTGAGATCACTGATAACAATTTATTGTTAGTTTTCAGTTTTCATGTTTAGGAGGAGAAAGTTTTTTCCGTCAGAGAACAACTAAAGAACGGTTCTTAGCTTTAATCTCAGCGCATTGAGCATTGTGAATGTCTTAATTAACAGTTTGTGGTCATTTGATTCAGCAGAAATGTATTTAGTAAAATGCAAAACATAAACTAAAATAATAAGAACTTAAGGAAAATGCTGGTATAGTATTTTTCTAATTCTTCTAATTGTTTAATTTTACAGAAATGATTGCAGTGCCATCAAAAGCAAAAACAGAAAACTGCCTTCCTGGATGATCTACTCCAGAGGAAAATTTCCGGTTGAAAAATACTGCAAAAAAAAGACTAGATTTTGCGTCATTAGGTCCATGAGAACATGGAGCTTCAAGCTGTTACAATTGTTTATTTTTTGTTAGAAAACAAAATAAACTACTTTTTTGAGTCTTTTTGTTCAAACAGAGAAGTCATATCTTTGGTTTTTGTTTTTCTGTTTTACATCAGTGCGAACTGAGTGTTTGATGTTTGGACACATGAGAACATCTTTTTGGGCTGCGGCCAAACACTAAACAATAAATCCGTTCATTAATTAATAATCAGCAGACGATGTAAATAACTGTTAGTTGCAGGCAGATTCTTTCATCTCAGTTTACATTGAGCTTCAGTGCGAACACACAAACCTGTGACTGATCAAATCACCACAAACTGAAACACAAACTGGTTTTAGAGACATAATTTTTGCCCTGAGTTATGTCTGCAGGCCTTCTCAAAAAGGTAGGGCAGATATGTTGCCTGTGAGGCAAAATCCAGGGCAAACGTTGTCGCAGAATAACTTAGATGATATCTTGAGGTGTTTTAGTGAATGAATCAAACTGAAACTGAAACTGTGAAGTCACCCCCTCTAATAGATTAAAACCAGCCTGGTGGACTGTTCATCAGCTCCTGCAGAGACCTGAAGACAAAAAAAACAAACAAAAACCTTTCCCCCCAGAGTGAAACAGCAACGTAAACACAGAAGCAGCTTGACTTCCCTCCACCTGGACTCTACTAACTAGCCTGTCAAAGCGCTCGAGCAAAGAGACATTCAGCACGCCTCCACAGGACGCCTTCTTCAACAAGACGCCTGCAGCAGGAGAGGTTCGGTGAGAACAAACTTTAGAATTATGATGCTCTCAGCATCTCGGCTCCCGTCACAGCTGATCTGAGTTCAGCGTCTTTACCACTTTACAGCAGCGTGACGAGTCCAGGAGCCGGTTCTGTTTCTTAGACCAGAAGAGTCTGTGAACCTGCAGAGTCTTCACACTGTACAAAGTCCCACTTGGCCTGTGTGAACTCTACTGACTGTACACTGCTAACTTTACACCGACAACCATATGGCTTCTGTACAGATGAGAGGAAAAGGCACCAAACACTCACAGCCCATCTGCAGAGCGACGTCGTCCGCGCTGAGACACCGCTCTGCAGACGAGCCGACAGGAAACTGAAGCCGTGTTTGACCCATGAGACATTTTCACTGTGCAGCTGATCACAAACAGCTGATAAACAGCTGATAAACAGCTGCAGCTCTGAAGATGACAGACTTTTAATGAGGATGAATCTGATGACGAGCTGCCGGCCGAGCGTTTTAATTGGCTGGTGACTGTCTCAGCTGCAGGAAAGTGTTTAAGGTGGAATCCAGCAGTTCCTCCTGTGGCAGGTGGAGGCTGCGCAGTGAAAACATCCATCTCTTCAACATCAGCTCAAAACTGCAGATTCTCCACCAGCAGTTACACCAATAATCAATATATCATCTATAATCAGCATAAGGCTTTTTCTCTTTTCATTCAGTTAGTAACGTAAAGAGTTTTAAGGCAGAGAGGGCGACAGACAGACAACTTGTTCCTCCTCCTCCTCCTGCTGTTGTGCTTTGACATGTTAGGCTGTGATGTGGACGGCAGGGGGAGGAGACACGATGCCTCCCTGAGCTCTGAGGAGGAGAGGGGGGGAGGGGGAGAGAGAGAGGGAGAGGTTAGCGATTAGGGGGAAAGAGGAGAACCAGAGAGTAGTTCGGAGCATTGCCTTCCTTCCTCACCTCCTCCTCCAGTTGGGAGGAAAGAGCGAGTTCATAGTGACAGCTGGAAAGTGAGGAGTGGGTCTCTGCTCTCCTCTGTTCTCCAGTTCATCACAGGAGGAGGAGGAAGGAGAAGAGGAGGTCTGTTTCTTTAAGTTCAGGAGGCTGTGATGGAGGGAAGAGGCAGAGCGGGAAAGAAGAGATAAGTTCTTAAAGATAAGGAGGAAAATAAAGAATCTCCTCCTATTTTTATCAACCGCTCCAGAGTCTTCAGGTGTTCTCACTAAGGAGGAGGTCAGAAGGTCAGGGGGGGAGCATGGGGGAGGTCTGCAGGAGGACTGAGGGTCAACAAGAGGTTAGGGTCAAGGCAGGATGAGGAACAAATGAGGAGGTCAGGAGAAGGTGAGGAAGATCCTGCCCCTCTCTGGTGAGAGAAGCTGATTATCAGGAGGTGAAGGAGAGGAGGAGAGGAGGAGGTCAGGAGACTGAGAGACCTTCGCAGAGAGCAGGTGAGAGAGTGTGAACAGAAGCAGATTCAGTGATTGACCTCTGACCCTGCTGAGAGCAGACAGGAAGTGAGCACCAGGAGATGTCACAGAGAGAGAGAGAGAAGAGAGACAGAGAGAGAGAGACAGAGAGAGAGAGAGTGAGAGAGAGAGTCACTTCACCAGCACTGACTTTGGCAGAAACGCCTCCATCTCCGCGCCTCCATCCGTCCCTGGCAGCGCCGAAGACGCAGAGGAAGACGAGGAAGAGCTTAGGGATGAGGAGCCGCTGCCGGCTGCTTTGGGGAGGCTGTACATGTAGACGGCGCCAATAACAAGCCCCGCCCCTGCCGTGAAGAGCAGGTCCACGTGGAAGCCAAACAGGTAGATGGACATCACCGTGGAGACAATGATGGAGAACGAGGTGGCAAAGCCCTTTAGGATGTTGTCAGCATACTTCACCACCACGGCCACCAGCAGCCCGCCAAACGCCTGGTTGAAGATGACGCACCACACCATGTCAGTGTAACCGAACAAGAAGCCGCGCTGTGCGATGGCGGCGCCGTCGTTCCACCACAGTCCCAGCATCCCGAGCGCCGTGCCGAAGATTCCCAGTTGCACATTCCTCACCCAGACGGAGGCCGAGCTCCCTTTCAGGATCTTCTCAAAGTAAACACCGGCGAACCCCGACGACAGGCAGCTGATCACCACGGCAACCAAACCCACCATATAGTTCTGATTGGAGCTGCCTGTCACGGACGCCTCCTTGTTGCCCTCCTGCTGCACCTGCAGGGAAACGATCGATCAACTGTCAGATCACTCACACACAAACAGATCAATAAGATCAATCAGTTCTATCGATCAGTAAAGTCACATATACAGAAAGTGGAGGGGACAGGTGAGCTGGAGGAGACAGAATATACCTGTACGACAGCGACTCCGGCAAACAGCAGCAGCAGAGACACCCACTGGACTCTGGACAGAGACTTCCTCAGCATCATCACACTGAACAGAGCCGTGGTGAGGATCTTCAGCTGGTAGGTCACCTGAAGGGGGAGGGGCCTGTTAGTTTTCCCACAGATCCAAACCAGTAGTTCTTTAACCTTTATCTGTCCAGGGTAGATTCTCTGAGAGGAGGCCTCTTTTTTCTTACAAAGTTACCCACAATCCCACCTGGGAGCTGCCCAGTACAAGCACAGTGGGTTAATATGCTGAATTAAATTGAATTAAATTAGTGATATACATTCTAAACCCACTACAAGTTCACCAACTGCAGATGTGCTCCGTCACGTGGACTGAAACAGTACAAGAAGAACGCAGCTGTCTGTGAGCCTGTCCACATAAATGAGGCCATACTGTACATGATGTTGTGCTATTTCTTGTTGCTCCACATGGCTGCACTCTGTCTTTACACTATTTTGTTGCTGTCTCTATGGCATCTTGTTGTCTTGTGATGTTTACACCCATGTCTTTCCCCAGTTCACATCTGGTGAAGGATCTTTGTTCCCATAAAATACCCAAAAATTAACTATTAATAATTATTATTTCAAGACTAAAGTTGTGATATTACGCATGATATTGTGAGAAAACAGCACCAAGTGTGGATCCTCCACTGAAAATGGTCCAACAAATGCTGTATTCCCTCCCGTTTGTTTGATAAAAACTACAGTGAGCAGCTGTTTCAGTAAATTACTGAGCCTCTTTAAAATGAAACTACATATTTGTGAGATGTTGGTAATGATTTACGTCTTCAGTAGGAACCAATGAGCTAGGAGCTGAGAGACACAGACAGACAGTGTTGAGCGACACTGTTGGTTTAGTTGACAACAAAAATATAGAAAAACACCAGAGTTCACATTTAAATAAAATAAAAGAACAGATGTGAAACGATGAGCCAGGCTGGACCAGACTTCAGCCTGATATGGACTCTCTCTGACCTGGAAGGTGGCGGCCGGCAGGTTGGAGATGGCGATGTACTGCAGGTTGTTCTGCAGAGTGTAGATGAGTGAAGGAACAGCCAGTTTCAGAGTGTCTTTGTACTGAAACACAATTGAGTCGACGAGGAACAATGCCGTCTCCTTCACATTGACTGAGGGGACAGACAGAGAGAGAGACAGTGCAGTAATGTCATTCTATCACCTGCCAGAGCAGTACAGTGAGGTAATTATTTACACTTCAATCCAGACAAATCAGGTTTTTTTTTCCTGACAGTTTTGGAGATGACCCAAACACTACAATACCCATGCGCCTCAGCTGTTGTTGCCATGGAGAAAAAGCCCGTCAGAAAACTGACACAAGAGCAGAAAACAAACAGTGTAAGAGTGCATCCTTTGGCTTCAGCTTCAGAGTGTGAAGCTCTGTGATTGGCTGCTTGTTAGTGAAATGCACCTTGGGAGTTGTATTTTTTATGTATGTATGTGAGTATTCAATATTTGTATGTATGTGAGTGACTGAGTTAGTGAGTTACACCATTGGCTGAGTGTTGACTGTTGCTCTTTCAAAATAATTTGACATGAACAGTTTCTATGACATCATCACGGGGCTTCGCGTTTACAGAGGATCCACAACAGTTTAACACATTGACCACACGCAGTCCAGACAGATACTGGATCTGGACCTGGTCTTGTTGAAGCAGACAGTTGTTGATCAGAGGGTCAAACACGTCACTGGTGCTGTAACAACCTGTGTATTACCACCGTTCATTCACACTGTGTCTGATGAACTTACATCTCTTCTGCAGCAGGATGATGAGCAGACACGTCAGGACCTTCAGGACCTCCGCCATGACGACGGCTGACGTCGTGAAGAAGCGGTCGCCTGGCAACGTGCGGACATATCGGATGCTGAGGATGAGCGATGCATTCTGGACCACCAGCACTGCCAGGCTGATGTACTTCAACCTCCTGTTAACTGCAGGAAAACAAACACACACATCAAACCTCCAAATAAACACTGACACATTTTCAGAGAATTAATTAGCAGTAGTTCAACACAGTATACAGGGATAGGTGTTTGTTCTTCATGACTGTGATGAGGAATAAGTGGATTGGTCTGTCTTTCTGCAAGAGTGAATAAACATGAACCTGCTGTTGAGGCTGATTTCCAGGCCAGTATCCCCACATATGTTCTCTGGGGTTTAAGTCTGGACTTTGGCTGGTCCACTTCAGGACAGTCAGAGACTCGTTCTGAAGACACTCCAGAGTTATGTGCTTAATACACAAGATTATGATAGGATTAATACACTGATAAAATACAGGAATAATTTAAGAATCAAGAGTAAAATGCAAAGCTTTGAATTAAAAGCTAAGTTAAGATAAGTTTTCAGCTGATTTTTAAAGGACAGAGCTGAGGTTGTCTGTTTGATGTCTACTGTTCTACATTTTAGCAGTATAGATAGCTGTATCTCCAATACTTTTCTATGTGATGTTGTCTTTGTGAACCAATAAAAAGATTTAAAATCAATTCTAAAAGCTACAGGGAGCCAGAGAGGCCAGAACAGGTGTGATGTGGTCTCTCTTTTTTTTTTTTCAGGTGAAAAGGCCAACAGCAGAACAGTGCTGCCAGTTTATACAGTTCTATTCCCAGTCTGGAAACTTTTCTTTAACTGGACAGTAGAGATTCATTTGTGTGGGATGTATTCTATTTGTACCATAAGAGCTGTTTCCACCTATGGAAAGTTTGGCTGTAATTCAGAGGTTTTTTAAACATCAATAATTGAAACAGAACCTTCCTGAGAATCTTGTCATGTTTTTAAGTTTTCTTCAGTATCCCAATGATCCAGAGATAGTTGTATCTACATCCATGACAACACTGCAAATAGGGGCTGATCATTTGGCTTTGGCTTCCTTAAAACAAATACAGATAAATAGATAAAAACATCTGTCCTGAATGTAAATTAAAAGTCATCTACCTCTACAGGCACTGGCTGGGTTCTGGCTCTGACGGCCTAAATAAAGTTTCCAATAACACACAAAATGTTAATGGACATTTATTTTGGTTTAAATGGAAAAGGTCTATCAAAGAAAGACCATTCTTCTCGTACTTAACGATTATCTATAAACTTAACACAACTAACTAAAGTGTTAACTGACTCACAGCTCTACTTGTGCTGCAGTAACTTCCTATAGTTCGTATCATTAGTGCTTATTGTAAGTTACGTTAGACCATCTGCATGAATGTTGACACTTCCACCATAAGAGCTGGAGGCTTGTTACCTGTGAGTGACCACAAACTCCTCCTGAGCCAAAGGTCCACGTCACCAGCTGCCAACTCTTTGACACCTCACTACTCACTAACATACCTGGTTAATTCACCTTTAATAAGACTGTTAGTCAGTGTGTCGCCCCTGAGGTTCAGCCTCTATTAAACACAGCGACAACATTAACTGACACTGACAGGTTAGTTAATTGCGCTAAACTAGTTTTGGACTAGTAAACAGTGAAGTTTGCTGTGAATTAGCCACACTAGCTTCCAGTTCAGCTAGCATGCTAACAGGACATTTACCTTAATTTAAATTACGGCATTAACTTTATTTATTTATCAGCCCAGACGATGTGTAACACTGTGCACACTAGTTAGTTAGAGTACTAGTTAACTTTCCTGGTTAACCTCCATGACTAATAACCCTCATGAAGTCAGCTAGTTTTGGTTAGATTAGCCGTTAGTTAGCTAACCTTCGCCGCCATATACACGCGTTAATAATGACACAGACCGAGAGGCTAGAGTTTATTATTTTAGATCAATCCACAGAAAATAATTTAAGTTTTATTTTAATAAACCAGCCCACCCATTACGGAGCCCCCCACAGATCCGGGTGTTGAACCGACCGGGCCGTGTGAGGTTCCCTCTGCTACCGGGTCTTGACTCCCCCTCCCCAGCTCCGCTCACCTTCACTCTGACTCCGGTTCCCTGCCTTCTCCTCGGCCGCCTGGCTGTGGTTTCCCCCGGCCATGGTGAGCTCCCTCTGCCCGCCGTCCAGTCCGGAAAGAGCCTTCGCCCCGCTGCCTGCTCGGCTTACGCTCGGCTAGCCTCACAGCTAGCCCCGGATCACAGTTGAGACCCAGCCGGAGCAACGACCTCCTGTTTGTTACCCGTGAGAGGCAGCCGGTCTGTAGACGGCTATTAGGCCGGAGCTCAGGTTAGAGGAGCCTGCGGAGGAACCACCGAAACCATCGGAGTGATAACACCCCGTGAAGGAGCTGAGGTGTCCAGGAGCCGAACTACAGCTGCTGAGATGGGACCGAATGTCTGACAGGAGGTATCACTCTGATGGATAAACATGCCCGTTCACCTGAACCAAGCTGCTTTCAGGACTCAGTGCAATACAGTAATACAACATCATTTATGTATTGATTATATTTCGTGTTATTAAACTGAATCTGCGCAGTAATTAAGTTATTAAATAAATGCAAAGCAGTAAAAAGAACAATACGTCCCAAGTTTGTGAAACGGTGTGCTACTGTAAAACTTGTAAAAACCGATAAAAATAAATCGGCTGGGTTATCGGTATTTTTTCATATTACTATTACAACTAGACTGAAATTTAAGGTTTATCAAATTATCGATTATTTTTTATTGTCAAACCTGTAGTTTGTCTGTCATCCCAGCACGACCCTTTCTTTCTTTATTTACTTACTTATTGATATATGTATATTTGGTCTATGTGTCATTTATATTATATATTAAATTATATATTCGTCTTGATGTTAATCAATTGAATTTCTAATGTAATGGTCTGGTGGCTTTATCTCATAGTGTTTTGCCTGTAAAAAGAAAAAACAATGTGATGGATTCAAAGGAGGAAACGGGGCAGCAGACTGCTAGAGGAGCTCTGAATAAACTTTCAGAGTGAGACCTCTTTCCTCATACTCCCCCTCTTTGATCCTGCCAACTGAAAAACAATCATTTCCTTGTTCTCCTTCAGGTTGAAACGGGAATAATCCTATTGGCTGCTGGGTGAACACCTCACCTGTCAGATGTGATTGATGTTGAGCGCCACCTGCTGGTTCATTGTCACAGTGTCAGTACCTGAGCGCCGTGTGGATCATTTACAGCTTCTTAAGCTTTTTAAGATATAAGATAAGTTCTGTCTCACCTGTGATGGTTCTGGTGTGTTAGTAACTTTATTTTGAGACACAGTCACTGCGCCACTATGTGGTTCCTTTTGGAATAACTGCTCTGAAAACATGAGCTGGAAAAGGTATTGTTTGTTAAGGGATGTCAAGTGCTCTTTTATATTTTATCCTCTGTTAACCTGCTGCTCAGTTTGTCTTGACTTCATGAAATTCAGAACAAGAAGATAAAAAATATTTTTATGTGAAAACCTGAAACACGTTTTTAATTCTACAGCTTTGAATAACGTTCTTGTTTTTCTCTGGACCTCTGTCTTATATTATTATATGTATGTTTATTCTGCTTTGGCAATAAAGTGAAAAAACTTTTCAGTTAATGAGTTTATATAATCCACAAGACACATGGCACACAACAGAGCAGAGTCAGGACCAGGACACCATGTGATGAAGAGACAAAAAACCTCTTTTATTCAAACATAGGATCTTTTTCAATTCGATCCATCGACACTTATTTAATGTAAATAAACAGGAACAAGTGACAACAAGCCACTTTGATCATTAAAACACAGAATAATACACAAGTATTTACAGTGACTTCACATCCAAACATCAACAGGACGCGGATCACTATGAACCAGACTGACTGGTTTTCATCTGAACCTGGAAGAACCCCCTCAGACCTGATGACACAGGAGGAAACTCAGAGAAAATAAATATCTGCTCTAACATTAAATTAAGATTCTGAGGTTAAGGTCAAACTACATCCGACCTCTGAGCTGAAAACTGATCTGAGATCTGACTGTGGACTGTCCCACCTGTCCACAACAGCTGGAGTGATTTTCTGGTGTGTGACTGTATTTTTAGGACATTCCCCTGTGAAGGTCTGAATGTCTGGGAATAAGGAAAATGGAGAAAGTGCTCTGATGAGATTTGAGGATATTATCTCACAAACAGAAAGGGTGGAAAATCTCCCTAAAACTTTCCTCCACATGAACAGACAACAAATGTCGGTAAACAGAAGATCACATGATATAAAACATTTAAAATGTATACTACAGACTGTCAGGACACCTCATGTTTAAATCCTGTTATGATGGCTGTTAGTGGAGTTAGAGCTGATCAACACTAAATAATGTAACTATCAATTAACTGATTTAGTCTTTTTTTTTTTTTTTCTTTTAACAGAGATGGTGAAAATTCTCTTGTTCCAGATTCTCAGTTCTGAGGATTTTGTGTGAAACTCAGTCAGACATTTTTACTGTCACTGTTACAGCCCAGTCATTTTATATAGTCATCTCTTGTCTGTGTCTTTTGCAGCTGAAACATTTCAGTGTGCAGATGACACTGACACACTGATGTGTGTATATGTATTAATGTGTAAATGTTCATGTAACTGAAGCTCCACAGATTATGAACTGTCTGTTATAAATGTAACTTAAAAGTACACAAGCCGAATGACTGAACTCTCTCCATTTTCCTCAAAGTTAGAACAGAGGACAGTGACGGAGCCATGAATACAGAGTGAATTACAGGACTAACAAACTGCAGAGAACCAGAACCAGAGTTCTCTTCTACAGCTGGAACCTACTGAAGAACAGACGACAGAGCTGTTGGACATGCTCCACATCTTAATAAATACTCAGGTCAATAAATAACCAAGAGAAATGACAAGAAAACAAGAAATGAATCAACCTAGAAACAGCTCCAGACCTGTTGCGGAGACGTCACCTCTGATGCAGCTGAGACTGTTTCAAAAACTCTCCGTTGATGTGTTCAAGGACACTTTTCAGACACAGAGCTGATGTTGATGAAATAAACCATAAAAGTGAAATTAAAATGTCCACTGTGTCTTCAGTGTGTTTTCTGTCTACAGCAGGTTTAAAGTCTCTGTGAACTGTGGTTGATGAGCTGAAACATGAAGACACCACAGATCTGCTCCTTTAAAGTCCAGCCTGAGGCTTTAGTTTCTGGCACTGTCCTGCTGGCTTAGCAGAGTCCTACACAATCTGGGTGGAGGAGTCCCTCTTGTGGAGTCTCAGGAGTCCAGAGACCTGTGCGTTCAGGGTTACGTTTATTGTGAGGGTCTGTGCAGTTAAAGGGACTGACTGGGCAGAGAGTGGTCCTCCTGCAGGTCTCCTCCCTCCTCCTCCTCCTCCTCAACCTCAGCTCCCTCCATCCAGGGGTGTGACAGGATCTCCTCCAGAGTTGGACGCTCCTCTGGACGGTAGGACAGACACCAGCGAATCAGAGAGTGGCATTCTGGGAAGAAAAGGGGAAGTAATGGTGGCGTGAGGTTGTGATTGAAGGTGATGTGATGCAAGAACAGGGTGATGACACAGTTCCCATTTAAACCAATCACATGGAAGGACTAGTGGGCGGAGCATGTGCTCACCTTTAGAGACCCGTCTGGTGAAAATGGGCGTGGCCCTAACGATCTCCTGGTCGCGCTCGAACGGGATGTCGCCGCACACCATGTCGAAGAGCAAAACCCCAAGAGACCAGACGGTGAGAGAGAGGGCCTCATAGGACTGAGACAGGATCCACTCAGGAGGACTGTAGACCCGAGTACCTGAGGAGGCGAGGAGAGGAGGCAAGGAGAGGAGGAGATATTATCAAACCTGTATAAAAGTCTAAAGCTGCTATTACTTTCATTATAAATTCATCTGCCAGATTTTTTTTTGTCTTTCTTGGTTGAAAAATGACTGAATCGATTCAGTAGTTATAAAAGTAATTGCCAATTAGTTTCTGTTGATTGTGTCATTGACCAGTCATTAAGTCTACAGTCTCCTCTGAAGAGTCAGAGACCAGAGTCAGACTCTGTACCTTCGAACTCGCTGTACGGTGTCTCTTTGAGTGGCGCTCCTGATCCAAAGTCAATGATCTTGACTTCAAGTGTCCTCGTGTCAACCACAATGTTCTCGTCTTTGATGTCTCGGTGCACGACGCCATGAGCGTGCACGAACTGAAGCGCCTCCACAATCTGGCGGAAAAACCTGAGAAACCAAACACAGCAAAGTTTAACACCACGCAGAGGAGAGTGAAAACCAACATCAGAGTCAAAGAGCAGAGTGGAGCAGAACCTGAGAGCGAGGTGTTCAGGCAGCGCTCCTCTTTCCGTGATGAAGTCAAACAGATCCTGATATTGTGCCGGTCGCTCCAGCACCAGTAGGAAACCCTGCCCCTCCACCTCGAACCAGTCCAGCATGGAGATGACCCCACTGTGACCCCCGACCTCTGATAGCCGCTGCAGCAGAGCAATCTCCATAGGCACAGGGCTGACCTCGCCGGGCTGAGGGAGGAGAGGGTTAATGAACATGAGCCATTATCATCCTCACTGCACTACTGTGTTTAAACTGTGTTCACTTAGAACAATGATCTCAGACTGGTTGATGTGGACCATGTTTACAGATTACAAATTCAAGTCATGACTTTTTAATTCAGCTGAGGATGAAATTCAAAACCTTAGTCACAGTCAAACCAGTCAAATGACAACAAACACTAACACCTACAATCATTTACTGAGTACATTAATTTACTGGCATTTACATGTTTGCCAGCTGCAGAGACTCAGAGGGATAATACTTCAGAAAAATATTTGTCATAATTTTATCAGGTCTAAAGTTTACATCTTTAAATATCTTGTTGTATCCAAGCAACAGTCCAGAACATTTTTCTGTTAATCTATCCCATAATGCATTTCATGAATCCCCTGAGGTTCATCCTGTGACACAGAAGATAAATGTCACTGAACAGCAAAGTTGTTCATAAAACTTTTTTTTTTTAAACAACAATCATAACAATGATGTCTGTTATGATTAAGACCACATATATACTATTACACATATATATTTTAATAACTCAATGAAGTAAAAACACATATTAAATAACAATCTATGATAAACCAGTTACTGTAACACCTGGTGTTTTCATTACAGATATAACAATAATATTCTGTTATGAATCAAGGTGTTCTTTTTAAATATTTGTGGGTAATTCAAAGAGAAACTCCAGTTGGGTTATTGTGGGTGTTTTTGCCCTGACTCATCATCTGCAGGTGTGTTCCAGGAGCACTGTGTTCTGGTTGGGGGGACTCCCAGTTAAAGTTGTGATGAATAAGAAATAAGTTTGTTACTAGGGGAAAATCCTACAGCGTCATTTACCAACCCATGACATCACAGCTTTCCGTGGGAACCAGAAGCTGTCCCGCCCCCGAAACCACCCTGTAATTCACTCATCAGTCCAGCAGAGGGCAGAGCTGACCTGAGGTCTGTTTCTCAGTTTATGGGAGGACATACAGTATCAGGGTCTTAAATTGACCCTCTCTGGGTTCTGAACTGATGGTCAAACAAAACCAGATATTTGAAGACGCCACACTGAACTCTGGGAACATTTTACAGACTAAAAATATAACTAATAATGATAATATTTACTGTGGCACTCACCAGTCTGGCCCACTGCTGAACTCTGTCACTGGAAATCTGTTTAATGGCAACCTGGGTGGACAAAAAGGGCACACAAACAGTTTAGTTAAAATCTGCAGCAGCAGAGTGGGCCAGTGTTTCACAGTAATGTCATTACTCTTCAGTCAACCCAGTCACCCAAAGAAGATGATGCTTTGACTGAAATACTGAATGCAGGTCTAGTGATGATGGAACAGAACTTTTAAAAGACACAACCACTTTGTAGTGTTAAAAGAAAACAAGTAAACTAAAACAATGAAAATGTAAATACACATACTGAAAAAAACATAATAAATAAGGGCAGAATTAAAGTGTGTATAAAGGTTTGTAGTCTAACCTGCAGTCCATCAGAGAGCCTGTGGCCTGAAAACACTGAACCGAAACCACCCCGGCCAAGCAGGGACCCCCAGTGATACTGCTTGCAGAACGGTTCCTTCACTGAGAGAGGAAGAACACACCAGTCAATCCACATTTCACACACAGAGAATGTAAAATAACAGATTGGCCCCAAACACATCACAGTGATCTTTTGGTTTATACTGATCTATTGTTTCTGTAAAGAATGGTTTTGTACCCTCAGGACGAACACAAAATCAGAGATGCTGAGAAACTGTTGTTATACAACATATTTATACTGGTTAAAAATCCTCCAATGTGAGTTTATACTTAATGCTCTTTTTTTTTAATGTCCACTCACAGACTTTCATCTTCACTGACATTAGCTGTTGGTTGCAGCTACAGTTTTCTGTTTTCTCACGAGCTTATTGTTAATTTCATGTCTTTCATTAAAAAAACGATTAAGAACTAACTAAAGTGGGTTAACACAGAAAAAATGTTGAAAATAAACCATATTTCCATATGTTAGTGTTTGATTATTAGTGAGCTGTCTAAATATTTACAGAGCACACTGTCTGTGTGTTTGTTGTGGTAACTGCGCCCTGCAGCTGTTTGATAAAATGAGAATAAAATGAAGGTCAGGATACAACCCTTTAAAAAGCCTCTTGCTGTCATTTTAAAACAGCCGTTGGTTTCAGCGGGACTCTGGATTAACCTGAAAGTCTAAATTTTAATGTTTTCGTTCAATACGAGACGTTTAACCGTTGTTTAATAAAATCCAGTCACCGTGGAAACGGTGCTATATTAGCGAGGCAATATTTAGACTATTAGATGTAGTTGGAACGATAATACAGACGTTTAAAATCGTTGTTTTGTGACTGCAATCTAGTTTAAGAACAGCTAGAAGAGGGTCGCAGAAAATAAATAACAGAGCAGCTGGTCCGCCGTAGACACGGTGATTTTATCCTGTTTTATTTTATCTCAACCACCTTTTTTAAAACATATTTTACTTTCTTGTTGTTCTCACCGTTTTTCCCTCTGACTTCCTCCTCCAGTTGAAACTCCACCGCTCTTTTCTCCAACATTTTCTGAACGTTTACAGTTAGTTGAAGCCGATAAAATCCATCCTGCTGTTGGCTGAATTCCTGTTAGTTGTTTTTAAACCCTCTTCTGTCTTAAACCGACGATGCTACAGTTTCCCTCCGGCTGTTTCCTGCTTTACGATTTTAAAATCCAATTTCAGCAACAAAAAAAATTACTATGCAAGTTAGTTTCTCCGGTTAAAACTGCTTAAATAGTTGAAAATAATAACTTGAAGCCGTTGATATGTTCTCCAAACCCCTTGTTGACCGCCTTCTGTGATCTACGCATCTGTTTTGGTCTGTATTTATACCCCTCTCTACTACTACGCCCACTTCACTCAGGCTGTCCAATCAGCGCTGAGACGTGTGCTCAATGTTTTGAAACTGTCCCGCCGATCAGATTCAAGCTGCCGTTTCTACTTTCAGCTCATGAATATTCAAATCCCGCGAGAAGAATTCGTAGAATTCAGAGCGGCGAGAGAAGGTGACGGGAAGGAGAATGACAGTTTCCCCCAAAGCCTACACACACACACACACACACACACACACACACACACACACACTAACGGTTCGTCCACATGCTGCGCTTCCTCTGCCGGTCTGTCAGATGGTCTGGTATTACAGAGGTTGTACAGACACAGACAGGGCCCAGTTTAGCTCGCCTTGATAAGAAATGAGTATGAGGGCGCTTCCTGTTCCTGTTCAAAATAAATGTGTCATTACAAGAAAGACCACTGACCGAGGCAGGCGGGGGTTCAGCAGTGGACTTCTTTGAAAATTAGCTTATGTTTGACGCTGTATTTTACAGGTCTGTTATTTCCCAACAACTTCTTTAAAGTTTCCTAGAAAAAAAACGGTGGTGGTTTTAATGACAAGAAAAATAGGGTCCAGGTTCTGAGACCACTTATTTTAGTTAAATTAGTTGTGTTGAATTTATTATTGACTTCCAGATGAATTTCCATGAAATGAATGGTTTCGCTTAAGCCAATCATTTGGTTTATTCTTCATTTCTGCTGAATTGTATGCTAGTTTGACACACGTCACATTTTGTATGAGTGAAAATCTCAGGGTTGTGTTAGCTTAGCATTTAGAAATAACTGATGACTGTTTCCACTGTGGTACCTTCCAGGAGAGGTAATTTTGAAATAAACTGGAATTTATGGAACTTTAAAATAAAATGTTGGGGTGTTCCTACAAACATAAAGGGGGAAGAGGAGGTAAACACAACTACTGACTAACCTGAATTAACACCTCAGAAAGTTTTAACAAAACCAGATCATAAACTTAAAGGTAAAACATGTTGTACTACACTGCATCAGATTCTACGTGCGTACATAATAAAGTGGACACCGAGTGTATGATTGTATGATTATCTGCTTATGGTTATATGCTGCAGTAACGTGAAAAATTCCAATTTATTTCCAAATAACCTGTTGTGCAAGCAGAAAATTTGTCAGGACGTCTGGTGTTTGTTACAGTGGCAAGAAAAAGCCAGTGAACACTGGAATGAAATGGTTTAGGTAATAACACACAATCATAAACCTTCCAAAACCATTAAACCTTCACAGTGCTGCTGGAAACAGGAATTGAACCCTGGATTTGTTATCTGGATGAACCTCCTCTGAAACCAGCTCCTCCAGTAGCTGCTGATCAGTGCTGCTCAATGTTCAGGAGCAAGTTTGGACCATTCTTCCCTACTGACTCGACCACTCCAGAAGGTGGATTTTCTTTGAAGTTTAGGGTCATTGTTCTGCTGCATCAGCAGCTTATCCTAGGCTTCAGCAGGTGGACAGCCACTCTGACATTAACCTATTAGAGACCTTGATAAACGGTGGTACTACCTCCACCCTGCTTCACCTTCTATAGACGGTTTGTGTGACTGTGGACTCTTTGAGATGACTCTGTGGCCCTTTGTGCTTCATGCTCATCATCACTTCTTCATCCTCATTCCAGTCTGGTTTCACTTACTGGACTCCAGGTAGCTTCTGTTCATGTCATTAGAACAACACAATGATTAGTGTTATTAGTTTAAACAGATTGTGTTTGTTCATTAATGTAACTTAGATGACGATCTGATATTTTATATACTGTATACTCAGATGCTTCCACAGGGTTCACTTCTTTCTTCTTTCTGCTGTATTTAATCTGCCTCTTTTTATTCTTAGAACTGTGTAACCAGGACGTCCTGGTGGAGAGTTTAGGACATTGACAGCGTAATGACAACACTGTAATCTTATCTCTTTCTCTCATTTTCTGTCCATGGTGCTTATTATCCACTAAAAGACCAAAAATACCCACAAACATGAAAAAACACTTCTCTCTTCTCGCCTCAGACAGGAGAGGAAAGGTTCTGTGAATGAATAAAAGATGAAGTGAAAAAAATGAATGGTAAAATTAAGGATGTTAATGAAAAGAACTACATCCTTTTCATTAACATCCTTAATTTTACCATTCATTTTCAAGGAGGTAGAGTAGACAAGAGAACAATAGATGAACAATGGGTGAATAGAGGTTGATAAAAAGGGAGAAGGAGTCAGAAAGAAACATGAGAGGATATAAAAAAGCAGGAAGAAAAGACAAGGAAACAAAAAGAAAAGGGAGAGGATCATGGACAGATCAGGGGGCCCTAACCTCTTACATAAGAGCAAGACCCCCAGACTGAAATGACAAAATGACCACCACAACATTTGTGGTGATTTTGTTGGTTTTGTAGTCATCTTGTGTCTCTTTGTAGTAGTGTTGTGTCTCTGTAGTTGTGTTGTGTCTATGTAGTCATGTTTTGTTTCTTTGTAGTCATTTTGTGTGTTTGTAGTCGTGTTGTGTCTCTTTGCAGTTATTCAATGTCTCTTTGTGGTCATGTTGTGTCTCTTTGTAGTCATGTTGTGTCTGTCTGTAACTTTTTTGTGGTTGATCTTTTGACTGACTTTCAAACAAACAGAAACAGGAAGTGGTTCTGGACCAGGGGCCCGAGGTGTCAGGGGGCCCATGGTCCTGTCTATTGTAGGCCTGTTCAGTAATCCATACATGGAGAAGATGCACTGAAAGATATGGCGACACAGATTAAAGGGGAAAGATGGAGGCAAGGCTCAGAGAGGCGTTTGTGTGCAGAATAAATCTCACAAACATTTTTTTTGGAAACATTTTCCTCTTTTTATTCCAAGAAAAAAAAGGTATTTTCATCCCAAATGAGAAAATAAAATAAAACAAACTTATATTATTAATAATAACAACAATAATAATCAATCATTAAGGGGATAAGTATGACAATTCTCTTTTTTTCTCTCCTTTTCTATTTGTCGCTTTTTCTCTATGATGATATTGGTCGTGGTCAATTAAACATGCAGCTAAATAAGTCCAATGATGATGATGAGGATGGAGGTCATGGTGGAGGAAGAGGAGAAGAAAGACAAAAAGGAGAAAGAGGGAGGAGGTGTTACAGACCATGAAGTCACTGCTGGCTGTTTTATTTCTCAGACAACGATGGAAAGTAAATATGTGTTGGTCGCACAACATGGCTGCCAATGGAGCTGTGACAATGATTTTGCTTTTGGCAGCTAAGCTAACTGTAATGCAGCTTGTTAGCAGTGTTAGAAACCTAGAAACCAAAGGATACTGCTTTAAAACATAAGACTTGAGGCGATAGCCTGCTCAATAAAGAGCATGCTAACATAACGTATACGCCACAGGCGGGTTGCCTTCTTCATTTCTGATTAGCATTCCTCACAAAATGGCTGCCAGTGTGAGCTACTAGAGGATTGAGAATGAGCAGGAAACAATATTGCTCACGGCAGCTAAGCTTGAAAAGTAACACTATGGGTGCTGTAGACTAAGTTAAAGAATGCTAACACCGCTAACAAGCTGTTCTGCTGTTAGCTTAGCTGTCAATAGCAAAACTGTTTACCAGTAATTCTCAATCCTCTTGTAGCAACTACTACTACTCCTTTTGTGTGTGTGAGTAATCAGAATTAACAGGACAACCAATCGAGGCTATGTTAGCAAGAGTTAGCACTAGCTAAACACAGTAAGACTTCAGGCGATAGCTAGCTTGTTGAGAAGCATGCTAATGTTGCCTACAGGACACTGATAAAGATGCTTTAGTATAACTTTTCCATAAATTTCAGTTCTGATTAGCGGGATTAGCGTTCCTCACAATTTTGCTATTGGCAGCTAACTGCAATGTAGCTAGTTAGCAGTGTTAGTAGGAACTAACTTTACCTCATAGTAAGACTTTGGGTGATTGTTTTCCTACTAAAGAGTGAGCTAACTTAGCCTACAGGATTAGCATTTTAGAATTCTGATTAGCATTCCCCACACAAAGTGGCTGCCAGTGAGAATTATGAGACGAGTAAGAATGAGTGGGGAAAAATGAAGATATTGATAGTTAATCTAACAGCAATGGCGCTTGTTAGCTATATGAGAGGAAACTAGCTTTAAACACAGTAAGACTTCAGGTGATAGCTTGGAGTACCTGTGGAGAGGTCGTCTTTTTCACTTCTGATTAGCGGGATTAGCATTCATCACACAAAATGGCTGCCAACGGACGCGACGAGGAGTACAAATTGTGGCAAAAATTGTTGCTATCAGCAACTAAGCTAACAGCAATGTGGCTTGTTGGCGGCATTAGCGGGGACTAGACTTACACTTTATGCTATTTTATCATACAGGACACCAATAAACAGTACCTGTAGAGTGGTTGTCTTTTTCAGTTCTGATTAGCATTCGTCATTGAAACCAATGGCCTGATAGCCGCAGAGCTAATATCCTGCTATAAAAAGAGTCATCGGTGTAATTCTGAAAACTAAACAAAAGATAAAAATTTAAACCGATGAAGTTGAAAGCTGCCAAATGTGATGTTTAAATGTCAGAACTGATCCCAAATCAGCAGCAAGACCGAGCTCCCTCTGGAAAATGAAAAGTGGGGGTTGTTTGGTAATGCTGGATCACTATTGGCTGGAAGCAGGGCATTATGAGAGAAAGGGGAGGAGGAAATGAAAGGAAACAGGGAAGAAGGGAAGAGGAGCCGACAGAACGGAGAGAGATGAGAAGATGAGTTGAAAAAAAAAAAAAAAAAAAAAAAACAAGTGTGCATTTCTTTGATGTTTTATTTTTTCCCTGGTCGATCTCCTTCTGTGGGTCAGAGGTGAGGGGGTGGAGGGGTCAGGATGGTGGAGGGCAGGGGTCAAAGGTCATGGTTGTGTCGGTGTGTGTGTTTGTGTGTCGTCTGTCGGCTGGTTATCAGCTGCTGTCAGGTGACGGCTCTCTCTCTCGGTGCATTGCGGCACTCTGGTGTTTGATGCTGTCCAGGTACTCCTGCTGAGAGACGGCCAGCACTGATGCCAGGATCTCATCGTCCTCCCAGTCTGTCAGACCTGGAAAACACACAGACCAGGTGACAGATACACACATGACAGTTTCAACCAGAGACGGTAATCTACTTCAAGAATCCTGAACAAAAAAGTCTGTAACAATAAAGATGTATGACACATATCCTGCCCCCAGAAAGTCAATTGTCTGCTTTATAGCAGCTGAAACAAAAAACATATCGAGCCAATCGTGTTGTTGCACTGATGCAAGCACACACAGTTGAGGTTCATAAAAGTTTTAAGCTGAGTGAAAACTAACTTCGTAGTAAAATCTTGTGTTAGTTTTCTACAGACAATGATCAAAACAAACAATTCTGTAATTTATCAATTTTATTTATTCAAACATCAGACACAAACTCTCACATTTGAACTGACAGCATAGTGTCACAGCTCTCTGGACTGAGCCATAAAAGAAGATGATGTCTGAAATAACTGCCGAAGGGTGTCGCCAAGATGGCTGCCGAGGGGACAGACATGCCTAGGACTCCACGAATGAATGGTTTATGGCTTTGACTGGATTTGGCAGGAAGGACTATTGAAGATGAGATGTTCACAGTCACACTGTTCATCATCTCATGGACATATTTCACTACATCTCAACATTTCATAGACTTACTAGGAAAAACCATATGACTTGATGAGGCAAAATAATAGTTAAGTTGCGACACTAATCTTTTAGAGCTGATGATCTTATTTCCTGTGTTTGCTGCAGGTATGATGGATCAGACTGAAACCTCCTGCAGCTAAATCCACTGTCAAAAAAAGCCCTCTGAGTATAGAGGTTGAGAATGTCTCCTGACAGCAGCAACAGTCAAGACTATTACAGAGGAAACAGAGTTCAACGCTGACCTGCAGACTGTGTTTTAACTGGTTTTATTTTTATTTTATTTACTTGATAGAGACAATGCAATTTAACATAGTTTCAACACAAAGAATGAAACTAATGTGTTGTACAAAGAGTTTATAGCTATTGCTAATTAACGACTCCTGTCCTTAGTTGGGCTTTTATGTGTATAATGTAATTAAAACAGTCAATAGCAAAAACAACACAAAACAGACCACACAATTGATAATATCTTACAATTAGCTAAAAATATACAGATGTTCAGTCTAAAAAGAGACAACAACAGCACAACAAGCTACAAATAGTCAAACAAAGACAATAAACAATAGATACAATTACCTAGAAACGAATAAAGCTCTGGTTTGCTTTCAGCAGCACTGAACCTTTGTTGTAAAGGAATTTATATCTGGAGTTAATCTGGAGTTATATCTGGAGTTAATCAGTTGGTCATGTGTTCACAGCTCTTTCTGGAGAAAGCTGATTGTCTAAATTTAGATCTTCAATGTGGTATTTTATTTAGTAGTTGCCATTCACCACGCTCCTGGTTACTTTGTTCCTGTCCTGCCTTTGGATATATCTGGAGAGAGACTCTTGGGCTAAACTATTGATACATTTATAAACTAATTTGAGGAAGCAAAGATGAATAAAGCTCTCAAAACTAAGTAGATTGTATCTTTTCAGTATGTGACAGTGATGCCATCGGACAGGCTTTTTGTCCATTATTTCCAGTGCCTGATTGTAGGAAGTGAGGGGTCTGACTGTAGATAGTGACGCTTGAGCCCATACTGCGATACAATATGAGAAAAAAACCATCGGGTATGTTGTGTCTCAGTAATTTGAAGCAATTAAGGTTGGTCTTTACTGTTTTTGAGATCTTCTTTGCATGTTTATCAAATTTGAGTTGTGAAACTAAAATTATTCCTAAGAACTTGAAATCATCGACCTCCTCTATTCCTTCATTCTGTAGCTTGATTTTAAAGCTTTTCTGGTGGACCTCAGTGGAGTCAAAAGACCAGACCTTGGTGGAGCCGAGAGGAAGACAGCAGCATGTTCAGAGCTGCAGAGTTCTGGGCAACAGCTCATGATTATATCCCAAGAAATTATTGAGCAGTGAAGATGAAACAGACAGAAACATCATGGTGAGAGTTCAACACTGTTCTGTCCTTTGATAAAAACATACTTGAGTGTTCAGAGCTGAGCTGTAAACAGCTGATAAAACTCATATTATTAGAAAACAACAATGAAACTGAGAGTGTTTTCTCACAGGGACACCAGCCTCTGCTTCACCCCAGATAACTTTGAACACACACACACACACACACACACACACACACACACACACACACCGACACAACAACACACCACGCCCTGCTCTGCTCGGCAGCTTCCTGTTGACTCAAGCTGAGCTTTGATGGTAAACAACAGACAGTGACTGAGAGCTTCATGTCTGCTGCAGAGACGAGCAGCACCACTCACTGTTAGCAAGTCCAGTTTAGTTTTACAGCCCAGGTGGCTTTAATGTCTGTACAGTGAACAACCTTTGACCTTTGAATCAAACAAGGACTTCAACAAAATCTCTAAAGGCGAAAAATGGAAGAAACCTGAGGAGGAGCAACGGAGGAGAGACCCCTTCCCTCCTCTAGGAGAGATCAGGGTTAGAGAATGCATTCTGTTAATTAGGGTCCTCACAAAGGTAGAAGTACAAACATGTGTGTGTCTTACCAAATGCTGTAGGTGACATCTCCTGCATGATGGCTCTGTACTCCAAATGATGACGACTCTGATTACTGGGACCTACACAAACACACACACACACACACACGCGCACACACGCACACGCACGCGCACACACACACACACACACACACACGTTAGGTACTGAACACTTCATGAGACACACATGCAGTGAGGATGATGTACCTGTGTCTGTGTGTGTGTGTGTGTGTGTGTGTGTATACAGGTTACCTGGCGCGCAGGGAGAGGGGGGTTTGCTCAGGATGAGGGCGGCTCCAGCGGGGGAGGGGGGCTTGTTGTTGGTCGATGGGGTGGTTGTGAGGTCGGAGTGGGAGGGGTCTGAGTCGCGTTGCCGTGGCGACCGGGCGCTCCAGTCATCCAACCCACTGGAAGCTGCTGCCGTCGCCGAGCTGCAGGTGGCACTTGCCTTACGGGGCTGAGAGGGAAAAGATGTTTACATCTGTTAAATAATTCCTTTTTTCTGGTGGTGCTGAGTCAGCTGGGGGTGGAGACTGAAGGCAACAACCTCATGGTAACTGTAGCTTCAAAGCCATGTGCAGAGGGGCTGCAGGATACTGATGGAGGTTACGTCATAGCTGACATGTTCTGCTGCAAGTTTTCTACCTAAGTATAACACTCAAGGTTTCATTTCTCCTTAGCTAAGGGGCTCAATTAAGGGCATTACACAGAATCTCTTAAAAGGTTTCCTTAGTTAAGGAAAAAAGTAATTTACAGCAGTAATAGAGATTTTACAGCGGTAAAATTGTACTCTTCTTGGGATGTGTTTATTTTCTTCATTTATCATCATAAACTCAGTCATGTTGCAGTTAAGATAGAGTCAGAGATACCTTTAGTTTATTTCCTTACTTTGGTCACTAAGTTCTTTTGTGCAATGGTTTAACTGACTTTAAGTGATTCCTTAAGTAAGAGAAGAGTAATGTTTAAATACCTTAAGGAGAAGATTTAAGGGTGTTTTGTGCAACTGGCTCCTGCTCTTTAGTAACAGACCTCTAACACAGAGATGAGGCTGCGACGAATGAATGAATCAACACAGAGACACACAGGGCTCTAAGACTAGACCATATAGTGAGTCACTATGGAGCGACTCCTGTTAACCCTTTGAGTTGTCTGTAAATCCAGCTCCTGCATCTGACTGGACTCAGGTGACATAAGCAGTCAATGTTTGTTTGGTGGCTGATTGAAGTGTTCTGCTTCTTGTGAAGTCTTTGTTCCCTTCAGGAGGTTTTCCTCTGATAAAAAGTTCCAGTTACATTCCAGTGGATCAGCTCCTCCTCCTCTGAATGAGAACAGGTTTGGGTCTCAACACACAGTGACTGATAACAACACATACTGAAAAGACTTTTTATGCAGATCCTTACACTTTTAAAAGTGTAAGGAGTCCCCCCCTGTACCTGTCTGGCCTGTTTCTCCTGGTCCTGCAGCCACTGCAGGTAAGACTCCCGGGCCACCTGCTCCTCGATGGCCTCGTTGGTGGCCTCCCAGTCCGTCGCTCTCTTCTTGTCCTCCAACATCTGCTGCTCGATCCACGACTCCTCTGACGTCTTGATGGCCGATTTCATCAGAGACTGCTCTGCGTACTGAGGGGGAAGGGGTGGAGGTGGGGGGTGGGAAGGAAATCCACTGTCAACAAATATACCAGTCCACCAAGTACTGACTTCACACACACTTTTCCTGCTTACCAAGGGTTAAATATCAACACTTCAGAGCAGGGCTTTTGTAACTCTCTACCTCTGTCCTGTGCTTGTTTACATTTTGTCAAGTATCTTTGTCAAGTACCCGGCAGGCCTCACAGCTTGAACACCCCTGATCTATGGTTTTAAATGTGTCAGGTTTAGGTACCCCTGGTTTGAAGGCGGGCAGTCCCAGTCCCACACCGATCGTGGCCTTGTTGGGGTTCACCACAGAGTTATAGTGGATGTTGCGGTGGTAGCTCACTCTGATTGGCTCGTCGTTGTTCTGGTGGATGCCATGGAACGTGTTGATTGGCTCTGTGGCAGAGGGAGGAGGGTAAGGTGTGATTGGCTGATGACAACATATGTGGAGGTTGTTACTGGACAGTCAGACTCACCTGTGCTGTACTGGTACACCTCCACCGGTCTGTTGTACATCTCAGCCATGGCCTGCATCTCGATGTGGTTGCCATGGCAATTGTTTTTCCTCTTCCTGTTGATGTATGTGGTAAAGTCCTCTGTCACGTAGTTGGAGAAATAGTCGGCGTTCTTCATCTAAAGGAGGAGAAACACCTTCGTGAACACAGACGCTGACAAAGACTTTAACAAAGGAAGAAGAAGATTCATCAGCTGAGAGTGTAAGGTCAGAAGTCAGAGGTCAGAGTGACTCACCAGGTAATCCATACAGTGTTTCCTGACCACTTCATGCATATCTTGATCTCCATACACCTGATCAGCTAAGAGAGACAGAGACAGAGAGTTTGGGTTAGGACCAATCAGAGCCCAGACTGATCATCTGTGTGTAGTTTCAACTAAAACAGAGACACACACAGGCCGTGTTGGGTTCTGATCAGTCAGTTAACATGTGTGATGGGTCTCAGTCACTATGAAACACTTCCACAGTTCACCCAATATGGACTCAAACACACCGTTTCCTCCACCAGGAAAAAGTAAAGAACGGTGAAGACCTGCGACTGACGAATATTTTAATGACCAATTAATCATTCAGTCTATAAAAGGTCAGAAACAGTGACATGTCCAAAGTGATGTCGTCAGATGTTTTGTTTTGTCCCTAACACTCAGTTTACTGTGATGTCAAACCTGATACCAGAGGACGTCTGTGAGGTAAACACATTAAAAACACATTAACACACGTTTATTGTGTGTGCACACTGTTCATACATGTGAATGTCACACACAGATGTCTGCAGAGGAAGGTGACAATACTATGCAGTTTAACTGTTCAGGGGGCTGATGGGTGGACAGAGCAGGCTAGCTGTTTCTCCTTGTTTCCAGTCTTTATGCTAAGCTAATATAACTAGTTGGTCATTTTGGAATTAAATTGGAATAAATTTACTTGTCAGGGATCTTGGTCAAAACCATGAACCTCATACAAAGAGAAAAAGCTGATGTCCATCTGCGGGTCCACACAAACACTAATGTAACTACTGCAGTTGATACAAACACAAATTCAAAAAACAAGTCAACAACAGAGACAACAACAGGAGTTCTTTAAATGTTGAACTGCTCCTTTGACGTCGAACTGTTGAAATGTTCCTTTAACTGTCAGTTTTGATTCATACTGGTATTCAGCGAAAATGTGAGTGAACCAGTCTTTTTACTCAATTACACATTTATTCACACACTCACACACACACACACTTCCTGCATTGGTATGCAAATGAGCATCACTTTGGTTCGATTTCCAGCAAGTCACATGGTCTGTCACCGCGGCGATTCTCAGAACCCCCCCCTACAACTTCCTTTTTCTCATCAGCAGTTTCTGTGTGTGTGTGTGTGTGCGCATGTGTGTAAAGACAGTTTGTATGTTGTTGAAGTTGAAGCTGCTAAGTGATGACTGACACACACACACACACACGCACACACACACACACATGCACGCACGCACGCACGCACACACACACAAACTGAGGGACAGATATAGGGTCACACTCAGAACAAAACTAACACACACCGTTGAGCAGCAGCAGGTGTGTGAATCAGAAACACACAGTCTGAGTGTATGATATTAATGATGTTAATATACATAACCAAATTCACATCCATGAATCAGACTGATGTACAGGGCGACACACACACTGAGTCAGTGTTTCCACCTGTTTTACTCACATTAAAAAGAGGGAAAAACTAAATTAATTAATTAAATTACTTTAGTCAGCATCAGTGTAAATGTTTGTTGCTGTGTGAGGAGTTAAAGATGAATAATATGAATAAAAGATGATGAACAGCTGTTAGGAAATGTTTGTACAAATTCCATATTAGTCGATTTTTGCAGAGAAAAGAAGGAAATAAACCAAACAGACATTAAAACAAGTCTTTTTTCAAATGTTGATGCTCTGTCACTTTTATTTAATTTACTTAAAGCAGAGAAATTATTAATTAATAACACATACACAGTAACTGTGGCAAGTACAAAAAATAAATACAAAAAATAAATACATGTTTTAACAATGTAGCCCTGCACACTAGTTCATTATGACTCTACCACACACACGCTGTCCACTAGAGCAACAAATGTGGATTAATCCACCGCTGAAAATAGCCCTTAACAAATGCACAATTTCCTCCTGTTTGATAAAAAACTACAGTGATCAGCTGAACTTAGTTACAAGTCTGCACATGGAGTTTCTTGACTCTGAGAAAACCTGATGTCAGCAGAGAGTCAGTCTCACAGCGGAAACTTCAGCTTCTTTTACATAAAGAAAAAATAGAGTTTTGTTCAAAAACAAACCAGGTGCGTGAGTCAGACACACACAGAGGGAATCTCCCCTCTGATCACCCACAGTGAGTGAGTCACTGAGCGAGTCCCACACACTTCACAGGAGGCGAGAAGAGGAGGCAAGGACAGAGAAGAGGAAACAAGGAAAGGAGAGGAGAGGAGAGGAAAGGAAACAAGGAAAGAAGCTGAGATGAGAGTAGGGCTGGGCGATATGGCCAAAACTGTTATCACAATAAAAATTTCCATATCAGTCGATATCGATATTTATCAGGATAAATGCCACATCGTTATTTCTTTCAGGTTTAAAGGCTGATTTTTGCTCCTGAGTGAAAGTTGAAGAAACCAGATAGTCGACTGTGGTTTTAAACTGTTCTATTTAGGCAAAACATGACAAACACTTGCCAAACAGCAGAACATTTAAAAACTCTGAGGTACAAACATTCAAATTATGATAAAATATGCATTATTAAAATCAAAATCCTTTTCAGTCCTTTTTACTCAACAAAGTAAATAGAAAATTAAGTTTTGCAAGGAAGATGGCTCAGACTGCAAAATACATTAAAAAAATAAATAGACGAAGAAGATTTGCAGTGGGTACTGGCCTGGTGCTCATCGAAGTTCCACTAATACTTGTTTTTCTTACTTTCTGTGTGTTTTAACGGGTGATATTTTTTCAAATGATCAAACAGGTTTGTGGTGTTGCCTGTCTTTGATGGAATGTGTCTCCGGCACAGTTTCCGGTGCACATTGCTCTTTTTTTTTGTCGGAATGTAAATAGCCAAAATATCTGCAAACTACTGAAGTTGAGTGGCCTCTGTTGTCGACGATATCTGCGTCCTCCGAGCTGCGTTCTGCTTTTTCTGCGGTGTCTGTCATTTCGCCATATTTGCTTACTCCACTCCAACTTCAAGCCTGTCAGCCACTGCGTGCATCTGTAATTAATATCATGTGCTGGCCTACATTTATACCTCTCACTGAATATTTATCAAACATTTTTAATGTTTCTATCGAGGAAAATAATTTCGAGATAATTATTGCTATTGTTTTATCGCCCAGCCCTAGATGAGAGGACAGGAGAGGAAACAAGGAGAGGAGAGGATAGGAGAGGAGAGGAAACAAGGAGAGGACAGAAGAGGAGAGGAAATAAGGAGAGGAGAGGATAGGAGAGGAAACAAGGAGAGGAGAGGAAACAGGGAGAGGACAGAAGAGAAGAGGAAACAAGAAAAGGAAAGGAAAGGAGAGGGGAGGAGGAGAGGAGGACACAAGGCGAGGAGAGGAGACAAGGAGAGGAGAGCAGGTAAATGTGAGTTTGTTGCTGAGAAACACACACAGAGATAGACTTCTGCAGAATTAATAACCACAAACACAAATACACAGGAAACCACAGCGAGCGCTCTGATTGGTCAGCCTGGATATTATTCTCAGAAAGGTGGGGGCAGGGCCTGACAGAGGAACTGCGTCCATCCATTCGTTTTTACTAATGATGTTGATAAAGTTTTTATCTGAACCTCACAGACACTGACACCACCCTGACCACCAGCAACAGCAAACTGCAAAGCATGCTGGGTAATGTAGTCGTAGGTCGTTAGTTGGCTCCTTGGGCTCATTATTCATCAGGATTTTTAAACAAATTCACTTATTTTATCAACAAACAGGAAACAATATGATCAGGCTGAGTTTAATTTATGAGCATGGAGAGAAAAATACACAACTCACTGAATGATATGAATCAAACTTTAACGCGACTCCTGATCCTCTAGAGATGATGTCTCACTCTGTTGAAGTTGTTGAACTCCAGAAACTCTCTGCTCTGACCGTACGGTGGTGTTACAGAGTGATGCTTCTTTTACCTCATAAACAATTCTTGGCAGAGAACAGACACAAAGTGTCATGTTGTTCTTTGTTAATCACATTACTGACAGAGTTAATGTGAATCAGCCAAGTTCATCAAAGTCTAACTAAACTCCCTGTTTTTGTTTCTATGGTGATTCTGTTGAGCTGCAGGAGAGGGACAGGAACACGATGAGGGAATTTCTCAATAAAAGCTGTATAACTATGGGAGACACTCACTGGATTTGTCTAACTCAGAAATCTTAAGCCTTTACATTGTGGATTCTGTCCATCACTGACACTGAAAGGTTTTCTTATAAAGTCCAGTATGGACAAGAGGACAAATCTGTGACAGGTTCATGTGACTGTTGTTTTCAGACATGAACAAATGTGAATGTGCCCTTTAATGTGAGCAGTAATGTGAGCAGTAATGTGAGCAGTAATGTGAGCAGTAACGTGAGCAGAACTGCAACAGGAGGCTGAGGTAAAGACAGCATGAGGTTCTGATCTGGACCAACATCAGGCCCTCCCTCACAGAGGAGGTAGTGGTGATGTTGCTACACATATTAAGGACAGGTTGTGTGTGTTAATGTGTGTGTGTGTCTCTGCTGTGGTTTTATCTCACTGCAGCTGACCAATCACAAAGCAGAGAGAAGTCAGCCTGTGTCATCTGTTTTCTGTAGAAGTCTATCAGCTCTGAAGCTCCGCCCACCATCAGGGGGTCATTTGACTGGCTGAGCAGCGCTTGGTTCTAACACCACTGCCCTTCCTGTCAGAGATCATGTTTATAACCCTGTTGAACAACCATACTGAACCACCACAACACACACAGCTCAGACACTGAGTGTGTGTGTGCTGACCCTGGGTCAGTCCTCAGTCACCAGCTGCAGGTGACCTGTTTTATCTGTGTAGCTGTCAGAGTCACTTCTCTGACACTTCACACACTTTAACAGTCAAAACACTCTCATTTATGAATTTTATTCTGAAGTTTGTGAGTAAAAACAAAAGATTTTACTTTTAACTTTCACTCAATTTTACTTTTACCAGCTATCGAGTGGTTTTTCTGTATCAATCTAAAAACTGATCACAAAAGCTTTAATTGCTGAAATTACAATGTCACAGTTGTTTCTAAAAAAAAAACATGACGTATTTGTTTGCAAAAAAATA